CCCTCTTTCCACATTCCATGGACCTTTCTCTTCTGCCTGATCTCCGCTAGAAGCTCCTTGTTTAACCATGCAGGTCTCCTGCCTCCTTTGCTAAATTTCTTTCTCAGGGGGATGCATTGCTCCTGTGCATGGAAGAAGTGTTGTTTAAAAAGCGACCAGCACTCATGGACCCCCCTGCCTTCGAGAGCCCTGGCCCACGGGATTCCTCCCAGTAGCTCCTTGAAGAGGCCAAAGTCAGCCCTCCTGAGTTCCAGGGTTTTGATCCTGCTTATCACCCTGCTTCCTCCACGCAGGATCCTGAACTCGACCATTTCATGGTCACTGCAGCCGAGTCCACCTCCAACCTTCACATCCTCCACCAGTCCCTCCTTGTTTGTTAACACGAGGTCCAGCAGCGCGCCTTTCCTTGTTGGTTCCTCCACCACTTGCATCAGAAAGTTATCATCGATGCTCTGTAGGAACCTCCTGGATTGCGCCTGCCTAGATGTATGGTCTTCCCAGCTGATGTCAGGGTGGTTGAAGTCCCCCATGAGAACCAGGGCCTGTGACTGTGAGGCTGCTTGCCTCCTACTGTTGTTTCTCAAGAGTTAAAGTAACCTTTCTTTTATTAGTATGTCCTTCAATTTGAATGATTCAGTATTTGACTTGTGAATACAACGTAGTTTTGCTGGATTTATGGAAAGCAGTTATTCTGAATTATTTATTTCCTGTCAAATTGGGATTCTGTACTGTAGGGATGCTTCCAGCAGGAACTTTCCTCTGCATGGGAAGCCTTCTCCTCCTGTCCTTTGAAAGACAGCTGCCTCAGTGGGAAATTGACACTTTCTTTTAGGCTGTCTTAAAGTACAATTCTACGAGAACATAGTGGTTTTCTGAAGTACTGTTGTAGCTTCATTTATGGGAAATAGTAAGTATCAATGCCTCGAACGCAGTAGGTGGAGCGACTCTGTGAGTCAGATATCAGTGAAATAAGTATTATTTGTAAACTGAGGATGGTTGGAGTTTTCTGTGTTACTTAAATAGCTTTTGAAGAATTACATTGAAACAGATTTGTTGTAAAAATAGCAAAAGCAGATTGCACTTCACTTGGCAAATGAATCATGTTTCAATAGATGAAAACAAGTACTTTACTAATAGGAAAAAGCTTTTAATAGCTCATGCTCAGAATACATCCTGCTTCTGCTTGTAGTGACAGCCATTCATAATTTACATTCTTTACAAAATATTGAATGCTCAGTTGAATCTGACTAGGTGCATTGGAGAGCGAGGGAAAGCATTACTTCAGTCATTCTTGCTTTGAACTTGTTTTTTATGATTATAGTGTTTTCAGTCTGAGATTTTATTAAAACAATTTTAGAAGATTAAATTGCTATTGCATAGAATTCTTTTACCATTGTCTCTGTGGAGATGGATACTTGTGTCAATTTGCAGTGTTTCTTTTGAGGCAAATTCAAGCTGAGGGCATTAGGAATGCAACTTTTTTGTAGTTGAAATCTGTCGTGTTCTGGTATCTGCAGTGACTCTAGGTGTAAGTTAAGATTAGTGGGTTATGGTTAACGTGTTTGTGGATGTATTGCATGGATCTTCAGGTTAGTGGGTGCATTCTGAAATTATTTTTCCATTGCCAGGCAGCTGCATTTTAAGTTGTATATGTCAGATGGAATCCTACTGTCTATATTAACATAAGCAGATGTATTTATTCTACCCATCAGTCTCCAACCATTCTGATTTTGTTACTTTTTCGTTCAGTCCATTGGTCTATGAGATCATCAGTTTAAAGATGAGAATTTCTCTGTATTAAATTTTACTGGAAAATTGGGAAGGGGGTGGTTGGTTGATAGAAGCAGACAGAACTGCTAATACATCACGGGTAACTTCTCCATGTTATAGCATTTCAGTAATTTAACTTGCCAGTCCTTTTTCATACTCACTTAAAACTTGTATATTTATCCTCTGGGAACTGAACATGTTCATTCAAACAGTGTCATCTTTCTCATTGATGATACTTAAGTATTCACACTCATATTTCTTGGCTTCAGTGTTTGTCAAGGCAGTAGAAACTACCAGAGCTAGATGTAAGGCGATATATGTGAAGAATCAACAGACTCAGACTGTAACTGCATTTTTACAAGGTTCCAGGGGAAAAAGTGAAGAACAGTGTTTCAAGAAGGTACTTACAGCTGAAAGCTGGAGACCTTTGTTCTATTTAGTGTTCACAACCACAGGATTCTGTTGGTGCTATAAGCAAATGTTACTACTTTAATTCCTCATGTAAAATGAAAACTTTCCACTACTGGAGTAAAGCTTGAGGCTCTTGGATACTTTGAATATATTTTCAGTTTCTTTTCAGAGAGGTTTGTTTTACAGGCATCATGGCAGATTAAATTGGATTGCAAAAATACTATTAAAGCTTAATAAATGATAGAAGACTGTACAGGTTAATATGGAGAGCTTGTATTTAAAAACATTTTACTTGTAACAAAGCACAGAACTGAGAGCAGTGAAGTCTCATAATGATACTTTTGCAAAATTTTTAGAGTAACTTCAGTTAATTTCACAGCCTTGTAATTTCACAGGAGTGTGAAGTGCAGCTCGTTCAGAGATTGGGATCTTTGTTAGCAAACTGCATGAAGAGTACTACTTTCTGGGCTTTACTGAGTTCTATGGGTATTTATGTATTATGTTGCTCTGTATATTCTGAGTGTTAGCATAGGCTAATACTTTCATTTGTTTTAGACAGATTTCCTTAGTTATAGAAGCTGATTATGGCAACAAAACTGATGTACGCAGGAAATAGCTTTTTCTCTGAAGACCATAAGTACTAGTGAACCGGCTAAGGTACGGATACAAAATTGGATTTATGTTACAGTTTTGATTTGGAAGTGCTCAAAATCCATTGAAACATTAATTTGTGTAGGTAAGGTTACAGCAAGAATACTGCTTCAGGCTATATGTTGATGAATATAAAGGTGATTGAGAGGTTGAATTTTAGGTATAGGTCAATTACAAGTTTTCAAAAGGATGTCTGATCTGTAAAGCAGTGTCTTCTAAATCAGTAGTCACTTTCATGAATATCAAGTTATTTTCTTGTTTGAATATTCAAGCAATAGTTTACAACTTTGAAACCTGGAAACCAAAAAACTGATAGGTTTGGGCACAAGACTGATAGTGTATTCTACTGTTTCATTGCAACAGAATGAAATGTTACTAGCTTACTGTATTCTGACTTAAATGCAGTTTTAATTTGATTTTTAGGGACTGAAGAAGAAAAGTTTTTATTTGAACCAATTCACAAACTGCTTGCTTCAGCTCACAGTTGAAATAAATATTCTAGAGAATACAAGCTCAATTTAATCTTTTTCCAACTAGCAGATTTTTTTAGATACTGTTACCCTACAAGCATCACATTATAGGAAGAAGTAAAGTATTTAGTATTTCTAGTGGTATTTGGTTTGTATTCCATAAAGCATGAACAATACCAGTGAGACAGCAGTTTGGTATGGCAGAATATCTGTCAGGATACTGAATTTTACTTTGTAATTGGTAAGCATTTGTTTGATAAAGATAACAAGGTCTTAAGATTGAAGTGAAAATATTAGAATGGAGTCTTTTACAAGAGGCCGCAGGTCACCAAAGAAAAAGTACAGAGAATGTTTATTGAGAATATGTGCCTTGAAAAGCACATTCAGATATACTTTCAGCTTATTCTCAACATTGAAGTAGAGCTTGTACTGTAATTATTTAGTTTAGGTTCAGCTCAACCTTTATTCAAGGTTAGCAACAGCTGCCTATTATATCTGACTATTGCAAAGTTGGTTTTGTGGGTGATTTTGAAGCTATGTCTGAAAAAACAGACATGTGCGTGTATGTGCAAGTGGCTTTATTGCTGGTAATGTGTGTTTAAAAAAAACTGAAAAGCAAGTACGTTGGTTTGTGTTGGAGGCCAAAGTTGAAAATGTGTAGACAGAAAACTTGTATTTGGATTGTGACATCAGGGTCGGGTTTTTGATGTGTAGAAAGAGTTGTACCAGTGCATCCTAAAAGGCTAGCCTTTGCTACTTAGAAATCTAAATTGATTTGAGAAACACTTTTCAGCTGCATGTAATGATTCTTTTGATCTGCAGTTAGATATTTTATTTTTTCTCATGAAGTGCCAGCACTGCCAAAATATCAGCCCAGTTTCAGGGGACTTTGCTCAATTGTTTAGTGTTGAAAACAGTACCAGACTTCCTAGGTGACTTGTTGGCATCAGCTCTGATGTAGAGCTACGCTGGGCACTATTTTTTGGAGGCTAGAGTGCTCTTGTTACTCTTGAATCTTAAATTTGATCTGTTCATGTATGTGCCTTATATGGCTGTGTTAGTGGTGATTTTGTGAAACAAGACACAGAGTCTGTAGTAAACTTGGGGGAGGGGCAAAGGACAAACAAAACTGTTACTAACAACATTCCTTGGAAGTTAACTGGACTTCATAAAGGGCAACTTGTGAACTGTTGTGTCTGACAATGGTCTATCAGCCTTTATCAAGTCTTCCTGCCATCAGACTCGGCTTAATTGTAATTTCGCATATTCAAAGATGCCTTCTTGGCTGTTCCAAAAAGTTTTAGAAACAGTCTGTGACTGATGTGTGAAGTGGATGACTGAAATTTCCAAGGTAGGCAATCTAATCTTCAGCAAATGCTCCAAAACATGAGAACTAAATATGAGAGAAAATGAACTGATACTAGAGTGCAAATAAGTTATTATCCAGAATATCCTCATAAAGACCAGACACAGCTGAATGTTGAATGCTTCTGGTGACTTTTCCCAAATTATACACTGGGTTGTGTGGGAACCTGTGGCATTTTGTCAGCAGGCATAGGTTTTAAATGAAGAGATATCTTTGGAAATCCTTAATTTCTAACAGTTTCACAAGTCACCACTTCATTAGTAAATTGTAGAATCATGCATATAACTTCATCAAATAGGCTTTATTCATTGTTTCAGCTTTCCTTTCCGAACTAATTCGTTAACACAGAATATCCTAGCGAAGAGTAGTTCCAAATTCTTAATTTTTGGTATCATATCCACTTCCCCTCATCCAAAATTCAAACAGAAGTATGGTATTTGGAAAAATGTCCAGATAATGCTATATATACCTGTATAGTTACATTTGCAGTAATCCTGAATGCTTTAACATTCAAGCTCCAACATGTTTGTTAGTCAACCTGAGACAGCTGTATGCTATTTAAATCTTAATGGAGTTGCTTTACCTGCAAGTGGAGAGTGACTCCGTCCTAACAAAACTGTGATACCAGTGACCTGAATCAGTTATGTTGCACAACTAGGAGCTTTAAGTCCTCCTCCTGTTTCAGAGGCCACATCCATGTTGTTAGAGTTCACGTGTTTGTGGCTGATGATTGGTAACCATTAGACGCATTAGAATTGGCCAAGCTTGGAAATCCTGTAGGGTGAGAGTTCGTTTTATCAGCATAATCGATTTAAAAAAAAAACACCAGATTACCATAATTTCAGTAGATTAAGCAAAATACTGCAATTTAGTTATTAAAGAACTTGTTTCAGTTGATGTGTAAGGGCAAACTCCTTTATTCGTAAAAGCTGAGAACTGCTACCTCTAAATTCATGTGTTGAGTTTTTTTAATTAAAGCTGTTTAACTTCTTGCTCAGTAGGATATGATTAAAAACAAATGTAAAAAAGTGTATCTCTTTGCTCTCTTGTATGTTCTGACTAAATTTTTGAGATGCTTACATCACAGTGATGGAAACAGTAGAAACTGGTGATTATAATGTAGGATCTGTGTACATCCACATCAAGGGCTGGATGTAGACTTCACTGTTTTGTTGTGATAGTTCCAGATCCTGCTGTTGTGGCACAACTTGCAGCCATGACTTCTTAATAACATACTGAAGTTTGGGGTTTATTGCTTGACTGAGGCACTGTTTCCTAATAGTCTTGTTTGAAGCTTCTTGTCAGTAGGTCACCTGCTCTGGGATTTTATATTTATGTTCTTCCTTTCCTATTGGAATGTCAAAATGTTTTTTTGCATTTTGACTTCTGTTTTGCTGTACTTTAGTTCCAGAAAGTGCTATGCAGTAAGCTACAGTTACATCTTATTTCTGTAGTGGGAACCTTCAAAATAGACTGTGTAACTGGAAAATACTAGGAATATCTTTTATTTGGCAGTTATTCCTACAGTAGTTTCCACTGAAATACTTTCTGACTGCTCTCACAAATACCTGTTATTCTAGTGTAAGCATACATAGCGTTTGGAGCAGCTGATGGGAATGACTGCAGATGCTTTCTAAATATTACAGAAGTTTATTTTGGTTTTTGAGTTGCATATTTGGACCTATGCAGCTGGCCTGTTTTCCTTGCAACCAAATGCATATGTGTTGCTGTCTTGCATCTCTCCTGAATATGTGTTCTAGAGTATTTAGATCTTAGTGATTTGTAGATTGCTCTCTCTTTCTTTGCATGCCATGTATTTTAAGAATTCGTGTGGTTTGTTTTTGCTTGTATGCAGCTATAAGTTTTGGCACTAGATGGCAGTCATAGTCTTGGAGCCTTGAATTAGAATTTTGAAGGATTTTAATATTGGCATAGTTTTTCAATGCCATCTTTCCAGCAGCTGCTAACTATACTGCCAAAATAACACAGTGTAAGTGTTTTACTGTTGTATGAATTAATAAACTGTTGGAAACTTTTTTCTCTTTTTCAAATAGCCTGAGGAGGCTCCTTTGCTTGCTGTTTCTACTGAGCCATCTGTAATTGTATCAGAGAGCGATTCTGGCAAGGTCGCTTCCCAAGTGCCACAGATGCTGCAAGAGACAGATGTTTCTAGTCCCAATATTAAGCAAAACAGTGTGCCTCCTCCACAGAGTAAGTGTCTCTCAGTACAATTTATTCGTCTGAATTCAGGATGTACTTTTTTCCCACAGAGGATATGTAGTCAGAATGCTTTGCCTTGAGGTTTGGGTTTAGAGCGCCATATCAGGTACTTACGTATTTTATTTATCTATCTTGCCATATTTTAGCTTTCGTGAAGTACTTTCACAGATGTGCTTTCACTGTGAGATAAAACTGGCTTTACCTGCTTGAATGCCTGAAAATGGCTGTTGGCCTTGTCCAGTCCTTAACAGACATTTGGACGTACTGTTCACCATCGGGACTGGAGCTCCATGCTGTGACTAAGTAGTTCTGCCAACACTGTTTCAAAGGCGTACTTGTGAGTCTTTAGTGGAACAGATGGGTACTAACATAGCAGTTGACAGGATGTTTAGCTACCAGAAATTTCAAGAAAAGTACAAGCAATTCAATTTTCAACCTACTGGGTTTTTTTTTTAATTCTCAACTTGGCTCATTAACTTCTTTTTCCGTATGGTTCCGGGAAAGGTAGTAATCATGGAAGAGAAGAGTTGCTAATATGGGAGTAGAATGGTGTTGGGTGATGCACTTATTTTTGTTGTAGCCTAACAGCACGTACATGAGGCCGAACTACTGCAGGTATATTGCTTTTTAAAAGTATGCTGTGCCCAAAGATGTAAAATGTATCCTCCATTGTACTCAGCAAAAGTGCTTGTACTGAAGTACTCACCCAGTAAGACAGAAAAGTTATAAGGGAAGTCAGAATGTGAAAGGCATTGCTTTAAAAACAAAAAAGAAGTTGTTTGGGTTAGACTTTTTAATGAGATTAATAAATACTGACATTTCATAAGAAGTTCCTGGTTAGGTGATTTCATAATATTAGTCTCATTCAGCTGCACTAGTTGGCTCCTTTGTTTTTAATATATTAAACAACAGAATCTTTCAAGTCAATGTGTCAACGTACAACTTTTTGTTCCGATTCTAAAATATGAAGGCTTTTGTGACTGATTCATGCCTCAACAATTGAAATAACATCTTATGTTCGACATATAAAATACTTTACCTGATTCACAACTTTTGGCAGCCAGCATGTTTTAAAGCAATCTGTTTGCATGAAATAGCATAGTGCTTCTTTATTTGATTATAGATTCCAAGTAACCGCGTCTTTACATAGTTGATTTTTTAAAAGTGCTTTTCTGACATGTCACGTATTTAGTGGTTAAAAGCAATGTAATCTGATAAAAAGGAACGATTAATGTTAATTGTGTACATGTACATTATTTCCAGTTAGCAAAAAAATAATAATGACCGTACTGGAAATAATACATTTTCAAAATGAATTACCTTTGTTGTGGATCACTCTTTGTATTGTGGTGTAAAAATCTCGGTTGAAATTAGCAAATGTTGGTTTAGAGGCACTTCAAGTTAGAGTATTTGGCAGAAGCAGGTAAATATAAATCTCCTTCAAAAATCGTGCTAGTTGATTGTTCTGAATTGCTTCGTAATAATATGGAGTGTAGTATCCAGGCTTTTAAAAGTCAATTCTGTGTAAACTTCCTCAGTCCTAACACTATAGTTATGTTCTGTTTTTAGCAAAGTCTGAAGAAAGCTGGGAATCCCCCAAACAAGTTAAAAAGAAGAAAAAAGCAAGAAGGGAAACGTGAACTTCCGAGATGGACATGTGTTGCTGAATACTGTCATAAAGATTATGCTGTTTATGCAATAATTTGTGAACATGTACAGAATTTTATATAAATTTCAAACAATTTTTAAAAACGGAACTGCTGTGAACACAAACACCTTTAAAAAGGAATCAAAGGAAAGCAACTTTATGATACAGCAAACAGAACATGCTACATTTGAAAGACATTCTGAAGAGTCTGTTTTTCCAACTTTTGGGAGAGATCTTAAAAAAACCCTGGTTTTACAACACAGTGCCCTGTTTACAACAGATTATACTCTCATCTACAGCTGCGGACAAAAGGTTAATTTCAAGGAAGGGTTTTCTGTAAAAATAATTGTCTCTACAATAGTGGGTGTTTCTTGCCTCTCTTACGAGTGATGCATTAGAAGCACAGAATGTCAAACATGAATTTGTTTCATGCCTAAATCAAAATGCTTTGATTAAATACATAATCTGCCATATCTTTACAGTAAGTTGGTTAGCAAGTCTGCTAGCTGTTACAGGAATCACAAGTGCAAATCATTAACCATTTGTACAGTCAGACCTTCATGGTTTATTATATGAAGTTAACACAATAAAACTGCTTTGGGTTAAAAGTTTGAGAATGTGATTTGAAACGAGTATGGTTCATGAAGTTATTTTTGATAATGTCTATTACCTTACTTGAATTGTTGAAGATAACAGTATATTTTTAAGAATGCAGTAATGTGCATAAAATTGGTTTTCTCCTTCATTCCCTACAGTTCTTGGTTGATTCAGACTCCCATCTAAAACTGTATCCTTTCAACTTTTTCCAATTTATGGAATTAATTGAAATCAAATGTTCCCTTCCTGTAACACTTTTTAACCAACCATACCTGATTCTGTTCTGCCATACCCAATTCTGTTCTGTTCTCTATTACTGAAACTCTGAAGAAAGCAAAGTGAACTTTTTTCACTCACAATTTATTTGGGATTTCAGAGATCCGTTGGAGAACTGGAGTGGCTTCAGACAGCTTTAATTGACATTGTCAAGACCAGTTATCAGGAACACATTTTTTTACTGCCTTAACCTGTAGTATGTAGAATGTGTCTAGACTTCTGGACAGGAGTTAGTGTTTTTATATTAAAAAAAAAATCATGCAAGTATAGCAGTTGTAAAATAAAGACCATTTCCTGCTTGAAACAGTTTATTAAAATGGTGTTTAAGATATGTTATCATTTTCAGGCACTGTGTAATTACATGGTATCAGACTGGCAGGTGTGTTTGTGTCTGTGAGGTGCATGCTCAGCCATGTACACTGTAAATAGCCTTTACAAAAATTTGTTTGAGGATGGTAATTAACATCACCTGGTAAATCCAGGTAAAGAAGAGCCAAGATTTTTTTTAAATGATTGACTTCTGGTTTTGTGGCACAAACAAATTGTTAACAGCTGTAAAACATGGTACTGATCAACAATCTTGTACTCTTACTGTACTTGACTGCAGTTCAACAGCCTTGTAAGGCCAGAATAGTTAATGCTGCAGGCTGGTTTTAATTGTACTGAAAATGCACCTTGCTAATGGCGAGATTTCCTAATAAATGGATACTAACTTGCACGAGTATTAACCCCTGTATATCAGGAAGATGTGACACTCTAAATTGATTTGTTAAAATAAATTGAGCATATTGGCAGTATTGATTTATTTACTGGGAGGGAATAATGCCTGAGACTGATACCTGTCAAGATTCATGTAAAGTAAGTTTAGAAATGAAGTACAGCTTTTCAAGGAGTATCTTAAGGCAAACACGAAAATAGGGTATTGCAAAATCATGCAGAGTCCTTTGCATGTAAATAATATTATAATTTTACTTGTCATCGTCATAGTAAAAGTTAAAAAGAATACCCTGTGAATTCAGGTCAGTAATGTATGTCCGAAGTGTCCATTTCCAGTCTGTGTGTTATGCTGCGAGCCACTTGGTAGAAAATACCAAGATTTTATGTAATGAGAGAGACTGCCCCCAAGGGCTCTCACTGCGTAAATTCCTTTTTTTTTTTTTTTTTTTTCCTCTTGAAGATAAAATTGATATTTCTGGGTTAGTAAGCTCTAGCTCTGGAATAGTTTGTCATTCTGGAAAGAAGAAACAAACTAGCTAACAACATAGGAACCCTGCTAATTAACTGCTACTACTAAGGATCATATAAATACATAGCCTTTGTCTCAAAATGTTGTTACCTATTTAGCAGCACCTCTTACTGTTTTCGTAATGTGCAGTTTCAATGTCTTAGAAAGCAAAACTCGCTTTGACATTCATTAAAGAGGTAGTAACTGTATAGCATATTGTCTATAAATAGAAACTTGGTTATCTATGTACTGTCATGTTTCTATGACTCAAGCAGTGGTTAGTCTTAATGATACACTGAATCCAGACTTTGGTACTTGGATAGAAAGAGAAAACACCATTTAAAGAAACTTTTTTTTTTCTTTTTTGTTGAATGCATGGAATGGTTTCATAAATCCAGTATGTTCGGTTTTTCTAAGTACTCTGGAATTATTTGTATGCGTAACTTAAACTTGTTGTGATGATGTGTAATTGGATAGTCATGGCATATTTTTATTTCTTCTGTGGGGAGGGAAAGGTGTACAGAATTCCTGTGTGCTTGTTACAAAGGTAACAACTGTGCATTGGTTTGGAGGGGAGTGAAAACTGTATTTCTGATGCTCTTTTAGAAGTCTAAAGAAAAAAGTGCAAGAGAAAAGCACTACTTTAATATTAACTAAGAAAGAATGTACATATTAAAAACATTTCAAACTTTATAGAAATACTTCTAGTACTGTTGTGTCATAACTGAATTGTATTTCATTACAAACTGCCTTATTAATGGTTCCTAGCCATGGGATTGTCCTGTGAGTAAGGCTTTTGAAAAGTGCAGGCATCAGAATACGTGGTTTAAGCAGACTTTCAGCTATTACTTATCATACTTGTTCTGCCTTTAAATGACTCAAGTTGGTTGCCAGTCAAGATTTTAGCTGTTAAAAATGCAAGTGTCTTGCAGCCACTTGTACCCGAGTCTTGTCCTGGTGATCACTGAGTACCAGGGAAGGACAGAGTTTCAGTTTTCGAGGCCAGTACTGAAAGATTTCTTCATTGTTGTGCTGTAAGTGGAAGAAAAGAAACTAAATAATGGAATTACTTCTTTAAAAGATACTGCTAAAATTACTGTTAAAATTCCAAGTGAATTGCCTCATTTAAGAACTAAGAGCATCAGTTGAGTGATTTTGGGGGGGATGGGGAAGGACTGCACGGCCAATGGTTCTTAACCTGAAAGTAGTGCGGTATCACCACAGAGATTATTCCCGGCAGGACTAACAGAGCTGCTGTTAGCAGTTAACTGTTGGGAGCGAAGTGGGAGAACTCGCGTTTTGTCGGATGGGCGAGGTGGGGTGGAATTGTTTCCTGTACTCTGTAGCATGTTGTTAATGGTTCACAGACTGTTCGTACTGAAACTTGAACTGCTAAGATTGTCTAGTCTCCATATAGGGTCCCTTCCGTTTATGAAACTGTTCCAACTTCTGTTCTTGTAAGTATCTGGTTGGTTGTACCAAGCTGAAGGTTTCTGGTTCACTGAAAATCCGCTTCTTTACTGAAACTATGATGTCTTCAATTTTGGTGTATTCTGGAAAGGAAAATTGTCTTTAAAACTCTTAACATGAAACTACTGATTTCAGGGTTTCATACAATGCGCTTAAAACAAGGTGCTTAGGAACATCTGCAGCTCAAAGCAAGTACATTTTCTGTCCAAATTGCAGCTTCAAGTGACCTCTTAACTTGGCTCAGTATTTTAAATTCTGTCCATGGCAGAGGGTAAGTCCTGGACCATTCCTAACCGGATCACCACAATGAACTCAGAAAAGTGACTCGTTCGAGGTGGTTCCCTGCAGTCTCTGGGGCAGCAAGTCTTCTGCACACACAGAGTTCCCACTTATCGGTTCAGTGGGCTCTGACGGAGTTAAGGGATTCCTTACTTCAAATACCTGATGAAGTATAAACCAGATAGTTTGTTAGAGAGCTTTGTTTTCAGAGGCCATTCTGACTAAGGCTGCCACAGCTTTGTGTCTATGCCTATACTGTTTCCTTGACCATCCTTACCTGTGCAGCTAATGAGTAAAGTTGTGCCTTGAGCTAGCAGGCGGAGCTCTGGATGGGGTGTAACTCCTCTCTGATGTGATACTACAACTTGGACTCGCTCCCTCTTGGACAGCTGGGCTTTAACGTGTCTACTGAAGAGGTATGCTGGACTGGAGACAAAGGTCTTTCTGAGCCTTAGCCAGTTGGATAAATGAAGAAGAGTTGTTATGACTATGGTCGCTCTGCTGTTGAGGGGCTGAGTGGCTGGGTGTGTATCTAGGGAGATGTACAAGCTTTGCTTCTGCTCTCCAAAGGCATTATGGAAGATGAATAGGCTTACATTTTCACCCATACACATGGGCAGATGCTGTATGTGGAAAACATCTGCAGCTGTGTCTGAAATTACTACAGAATGAGTTTTCTCAAGAAGCTGCAATCGTTGGAAGTTCAGGTCTGACGCAAATCCAGTTCTTACAGGAGCAGAGTACAATTGTACGTAAAATCAACTTGATGGGCCCCTTCTGGTTTGTAATCTCTGTAATCTAAAAACAAGGCAACATCTTTCTGAAGGGGAAAGAGACAATCCTGAAGCTATCATTACGATTTATGAAGAGCTAGGGGCTGGATTCTGGATTGGCTGCAAGAGTTAAATCATCCTAAGTTAAAGTTATTTATAGCTCAATTTTCCACTTTTAGTTAGCTAGATTGCTAATGAACAGACATGTTGAACTTCTTATTTGAATATACTGAGATGAGGCATTCCCTGAAACTTTTCTTCATTGCCTTGAAAACCAAAAGAATTGCCTCACGAAAGGCTGAGAGGAGCTCCGGCTGTTTAGTTTGCTCTCCCATCCTCTGAGCCTGCTCCCCTTTTTTGTCATTTGATGCACACGCATCCTGAAAGGCTCCTGAACATGATTGTACCAATGTCAACCACTATTGCTTTGTGCTTGCCTGGGGAAAGAAGGGCTGCTTGAAGAAGGTGATGCTCCACGTTCCCATAACAATCCATGCCTTGGGAGCTACGGTATTTCGGGGATCTAGCACATGCTGAAACTCTTGTTTTCTTAATTCTCAGTTCATGTTTTCGTTCCTCATCTTGCTTATTCAAAACTGGAAGTCAAGCTGTGAGGACTGGCAAGATAATCTCTTCCTGACTGAGCTTGAAGTATCCCAACATCTAAATGTAATTGGCAAAACTGTTTCTGCAGGCATAGTGTTGTCCTTAAAGCTTCCCTTTATCCAAACTCAGAAAAATGAAAAAAAAAAAAAACCCACAAAAAAACCCAACATTGTAAGATTAGTTTGTGGAGCTCTCAGCCAGAAGAGTTGGAGGACCGTGTTTGTCATGGAGGCAGCTGTTTTGCCAGGTAACCCAGAGATGAGTCCTCCTCTGTGCCCAGTGAGTTTGGAGCTGTATGTCGTGTCTTAACTGAGGGACTGTGAAATCTCTAGAAGATAGCTCAGACCAGACATAAAAAATGAATTTACATTTGAAT